GAAGAGAAAAAGAAAAAACTATTAAATAGACAAAAAAAAGATAGAAAAAAGATAAGATCATGAAAATCTAACTTACTGGACAGGCTCTCCATCAATGTAGAAAGCTGCCACAGTTGGCTGCTCCATAAGAACTGGAGCTATGATATGATGTGCGCGGTCTAGATGTCAAATCATAGATTTGGTACTAGAGTCTCTGTCAAGAGCAAGGGGTTTGTTGCAGATCCCAGGTGCCGCGGTGAAACCTTCTCGAGCTCGGCAGATGTTCTTCATCACGCCGTTGACCTCTTCCTGAACAAAGTAAGTCTAGACCCACAAAGAATGGACAGTAGTTGTGGTATCAGACAACAACTCCAAGATCGAATTGGAGGGAGCAAGGCTAGAAGGCATTGTGTTACGTAAGCTGGCCGATTGGGTGATTGGGGCAGAGGGCATGTATAGAATATAGATGATTGACAAAGTTAACTTTAAAGTTTTCACGTGGTATGATCGTATGATGTATCATGTGATCACCATGAGAGTTTTTTGGCTTTGGAAGGGTTGGCGCCCCGGCCGGGTTGGTTGCCTGGCGTGCTGCAAGGCCATTTGTGTATATCACCATGTTAGGTTTAGAGGCCTTGGGGCATGTACCGTGAGCTCTGCCAGAGTCTTTGGGCAGAGTCGGCTGGGCGGTGCCGGGGCCGGGTCACAGCCCTACACCACTGCCACTCATACCAGTGAAATGTGTGTGGGGCCTACAAGAATGGTGTGATACAGATTGTGTGAGCAACATATGGGTGTGTGACATGTACACTTGAGTCTGTACTTAAATACATGTGATGGTATGAGTGGTACAGGGCACGCACAGGATGAAGAATCCTGCATGCCTGACAGGTGCACCCAGTCCAGATATGCATTCAGGACCGCACAACCTGTATGCACTGCATGACTCCAATTTGCCCGGGGTGTCATGGCTTTGTGATTGGACAAGCTCTTCATATATTGATCCTCATATTTCATCAATCTATCCTCCACTTTGGAAATGTATACGAAGTCATCATGGCGTGATGGATGAATTTAGTATACAATATGTGCACCAAACTCAGACAATTGCTCCATTCTCTTCACTATCAATGTTGGAAAAGAAGTATTTCATGGAATTATGACTTTAAGGATAACTTGGATTCAATATTTTGAGGTGTACTTTGATCTGGTCTCCAAATGGCAAATACACCAGAGCCATTGAAAAGCTACAAATAAATGCCTTGCGCTGAAATATTTCAGCTCCATAATTTTTTGGAGCAATGGTTATTTGTGTGTGTCAAAGAGTGCCACGGCATAGCTTAACTTCAGGATGTTAAGTTGCAGTGTAAAAATATCTCTGTGTGACAGCCTGGGTCCCAATTCCTCCTGCAAAGACCAAGCAAGATCTCTTTTTGACTTAAGGACAGGGGAAACAAACCCTTGCAAGCTGTTCTTTTTTGGTCCACAAGAAATGTATGACTATTATTGGCAGGCTCAGATTACTGGCTCTCCTTAAACATTAGGACTTTCACCTCTGCAATTAACCATGATTGATCGGAGATGATTGTTTGAAAGGGCACAACCAGGATTGAGTATCAATCAAGTTTTGATCCCTTGAATCCTAATGAATATCATGTTTTACAGCTCAAAATCAAGATAGACAGAGATTAGATGACCTTTTTTGAAAATGCTCCACATCCTTCAATTCCTTTCCCTCTGAACACACCATCTCTTGAGAACTTGATCCAATCAATTTTATCCACCTTGAGGTGCAAATTTGATTCAGAACTATCATCTGTAATCCCCCCTCCCTTACCAATACTCCAACAGCCTCGTCATCTTAAGTGCAACATCCTTCACATTGGAGAACAGCTGAAAATGTTCAAGATGAATGAGCATGAATCTCTGACAATACTGTTAGAATCCAGTCTGAATAAGAGTAGCACTAGAATTGTTGCAATGGAAAGATTTTCAGAAGATGTGGGAGTGTTGGGAGGGGAGGGGGGG